TAGGGTCTAGTAAGTTTCGCTTAAACAGATACAATTGTTGCCATTGTATGTTACTATGCTTTCTGAGAGAGAGAGAGAGAGAGAGAGAGAGATATTTAAGAATGAAGTGGTGGTTATAATGATGCTTCAAGTCATTATCATTTCCCCCCATTTTTTACAACATCGTGATCACGCAGACATTGCGATAATCAATTGTGTTCATTGCTTCGTACGTTTCAATTTTGGTCACTACTCAACGCTGGTTGGTGATCAATCTAACAGGCCCTTGCCTGCCAGAAAACATAACGGGAGAAAGGAACAAAGAATCGATCTTGATGTTTGCAATAGACGAACTAGTACTTTTAATGATATGTTTTGTAGCAGGTGATCTTTCGACCCAGTCTTACCAGAGCATAAGCTTTAGGGAGATTCTACTGCAATTTCCTCAAAATGAATCTTATGGGATACACTGTTTTGGGTGATCCTAAAAGACATTTGATTTGGTTTTAACACTCAATTGTTTATCGTGAACAGCTGTATACATGGTACAATTATGCCCAGTCTTTTTGAGTATTATGTTAATTTCCAAATATGCTACCAACCGTGTGATGTTGACGAATTCAGAAAATATTACCTGGACTGTCCTTCATATTGGGCTATATCGATACCGCCGTCACAGAACAAAAAGGTATGTGTTTTATAAAAAGTAAGTATATGTATGTATATGAATTCTCAATAAACACACACACACACACACACACACACACACACACACGACAAAAATAATCTCATACTTAGATTTGAGTCTCCTCTCCTTTTAGAACAAAACATAGATTCGGTGAGCTTCTTAGCCTATGGCTATATAAAATACATTACGCGGTATCCCTATAGGACATCACGCCTCCAATGACAGAGTTCCATAAAATAAAACAGCAACTCTTTACAACGTAATGTACATTACACAAGCAAATGCGTGATTAGCGTTACGCCTCCAATGGTAAACTGTACAATTCCATAGAGCTTAAACGGCAGCTCTTCATGACACAATGTACTATACCATAAGAAATAACGCGAGCATTGTTACTGTTAAGAGACAAAAGCGGTCGCTTTATATTTACATCGGTAGTGTATAAAATCTTGTAAAGACATCTAGTGGGAATTTAAATGGGTCTGATAGAAACAGTAATGTTCCTGCTTCACTTTTTGCCATTTTTCATTTGAGTTGTACCAATGTGATAAGCATATGTTGAACATTTTCATTAGAAATGGTATTCTATTGTTTTTTTTTTTTTTTTCAAATTCGGGCCTTCGAGTGTGTCTGCTAACTCTTCCTGCTAGTCAACTTATTCATTATTCACCACCATATTTCGTGTAATATATGGAATTGCCTATTGTCAGATCTTAGTTGGTTGATGAATCAGATTTTCCATACCATTACCCGTATCCATTTGTCATTTGAAATGGATCGGAATTATTTGCCTTTAATATTTTCCTAGCCAGAGTTAGCTTGGGCGTTAAGGAAAAACAATTGGAAGCTCGGGAAGACAGGAGGGTTATAGTATTTGCCACGACACACCTGAAGAGGTACACAAGAAGGTTTCGCGTTTTTTTTTTTTTTTTTTTTTTTTTGTTAGAAAAAGATGGGTTTGGTACACCTAGACTTACATCAAGGCGTACACATGTATTATACATTTTTAGAAATCAAATACGAGGTATTCAACGTAAATCAGCCTAACAAGATAAACTGCACAAAGAAAAAAACAAGACGCCACCAATACAGTAGGGAGCACTGTAGAGTCAAATTATTGCCGGTTAACGCTAACTCCAATTTAAAGACAAGTGTTACAGATTCTAGTTTTGTCTTATTTTCAACATAGATATCGAGCTATAAATACTATGCATGGCAGCCTGATACCAGTTAATATGTATTTATTCCGAGTTACACAGCCATTAAATTCGCAATCTAACTGCGTCAATACTGTAGTTAATCATTAACAGGAGAAAGAAGGAGACCATAAGTATTTGATGAGGTAAATATTCTCAGGATACAAGAAAAATATTGGCTACGTTAATATATAGACGGATTTGTGGCTAGCTCCAGTATTTGTAACTGTGATAATTCTGCTCAGGCAGCAGCACCATAAATCGTTCAGTGCCATGAAACCGTGTCAGAGAGTATAACGAGATGTGTTTCTATGACAACTAAAATGTGTATCATGTTTTACAAACGATGTTCTTTGTCAACAATCTTTTCTGACTGATAACTACACGCCGATTTTATAATCATAGTAGTGATTTTCTGATTCCAGGAAATATACAATGTCACGAAGTCACCTGCGCCTATGCATGTACATAGCCCATGGCGTTATATCGGCATACGGTACATATATTCATTAAAAAACACAACTGTGCAGCCTTGAACATATTTGTGTGCATGCAAATATGTTGTTTGTTTTCAAATGATCTCCTGCAATGTTAATTCGATTATGCGTAGGCGTGTATGTGTGTGTGTGTGTGTGGGGGGGTGTGCAGGTGTGCCATGTTTGCATGTACGGGTGTTCGTGCGTGCGAGCGCGCGCCTGCAGACATATAAGTGCCTGTATATTCATATACGGTACAAGGACATTTTTTCTCTTCTATCACACATCCTCATCATAATTCCCCTTTTGTCCCGCTAACTTACTTTTTTTCATTCAAATATGAAAGCCATTTTTCCCCAAACACCTTTGGAATAACCTAAAATACACTACAATGTAGCAATTCTGGACGTAGGGAACACTAAATTGCTTTAAAGCTATCTCTCTCCCACACCTGGCCTAAAAACTTTTACACTGTCACTGACTATAAAGGATGGGGAGTTTAAACAACAATTCACATTTCATTACACTTATTACGAAACGATGCGTGCTTTTACCAGCAATAATTTTTATATTGCGTCAGGCGACTTAATAATCGCTTTTATCTAACTGGCATGGTGATTTGCTCTCTGTCGCAAATTTATCTGTACGGTTCGTAGAATCAGGAAATTGAATTAAAACGCCTTCCATTGCGTAACAAGGCAACGTAAAAAAAAAAAAAAACGCTTGCTATCGCCACAGAAATAAACATTCTAATTCAGTTAATGGAAATGACAAGGCGCACATGTTATGTCGTGACACGTTTTGTAGTAATGGTATAAGGAAAATAGTATACATAAAAGATTAAGACGCCTAATTAGGTCATAGTATGACCTGCGTATGAAGGAGCATATCATTTTGAATACTGTAAGAAAATAATATACAGGCAAAAGAAATCGTGAAAATATAAAAACGCCAATACCAGTGCTAACTTCATACAGCTAAACTAAAATAACGATTATTCACTTGATACGTTACATAAATACAGTTTAACTGCCCATTTTTATTGACCGTCTGACCTTAACGTTTTCCATGCCAATAACCCAAGAAAAGAGAGTCGTGAGAACCGAGCACTTATACCCTCTTCCCCTAATTCACTGGCAAACTCCAGGCAAGTACCATTAATATATTATCCACTGTCGCTCAGACACAATTATACGACAGATATTTGATTTTAAACCGCGCAGACATGTCTGGAATAGTACAGAAACAGCTTCGTAATCAGTGTGTTACTGTCAAAGCCGCTATCTCAATATAAATCCTATAGGGAATCAATACACAAAATATGGACGGATGAGTTCCTAATACAAATGTTCGTAGTTTACGTCTCACCGCTCACTTTCGTTCGAGTACACAGATGGGTTCATCATGTTCATTTATCCCCTATGATAGAATGCAACCGAGTACACGTAAACAGGTGTTTGGAATGGATAAAAATAGTTGCTTGTGGGGGCGAAAGGTAAAGTTTGAATCATTTTAAACGATTTTTCTGAGTCATTTAAAAAGACATATATAATGGGTTCGTTAAATGCTACCAGCACTTCCTCCTCTCTGCCTCTTTAAAACTGTGCTCCTGACACTGTTAGAAGATTAAGATATTCAGAAAAAAATTCTAAAAATTCTACGACCAATCTACCTGCTTGACTGCACTTCGGGTAATAAATGGGCAGAGAAGAACACATGATATCATGCCAAACATATCGAGACACAAACGCATACATCTAGAAGATGTTTAATCGTTTAGAAAAATTGAAATGAATACATTAGCCTCTGGAGTTTCAAATTAACCATACAATGAAAGGCAATCTATAGCATTTCGGCGTGAGTAAAGTAAACACTGCTTTGCGTGATAAAATCATTATAGCCACATTCTCGTATTTCTAAGACGCAAAGGAAGACGGAAAAACTTAAAAGCACTGACGCTACTTTTTTTTTTTAATTTGGTGTAAAGTTACAAGCTCATTCAAACTCTATTTTTAAGCACACAAAAGATAGACTAATAGCGTGACACACCCGCTTTTTTAAATCAACAAGAAAATCATCAGTAGTTTTATCACGTGCTTTTACTCTGGTTACATGTGACAAAACACTGGTAGGCGCAACGCAGTCACCGTTGCATTTTCGTCTATTGAATACCGAACCTGTGGTATTTCAAGAAATAATTCATGTCGACCCTGTCTATATAGTTATTCTTTCATATAGGATGGCACTGCAAATATATTAGCCTATTTGCATTTAACGTACTAGTATGTGACAGCAGGGATTCGAATAAGATAAATAGGCCTACATATCTGAACTAAACCAGCTGAGACAGGTGTTATACTCATCACACGCATAAGAATGTGTACATAAAACACATTGTTTATATGTGAAATATAACCATACCAATATAGTTGGTGTATCACATTTGCAATGAACTTAACCGTTGAAAAAATTTAGGCCCTGTAAAAAAGTTAAGACTCTAGATTTCTCCCCGCATTTCATCTGCAATGCACTGGTCTATTTATGTAGCTTTCACTAGTTTAAGATGACGATTAAAGAAATATCTGATTTCTTGAGGTAATGATGATTAAGATATTGCTTGTTAAAAATGTGGTCATATGTAACCTATACCAACAATATTACCTGTACGCTCTTTTCCTGTAATAGTCACTTGTTTCCACCGCGAACATCCCAATATTAGCCAGCCCTGACGCCACTGGTGAACGACTAGCTGCTCGGCGAGGCGACAGAGAATTCTCAGACCGAAATTGAAGTTTCTCCCTAAAAGCGGCCATGTTTTTCTTCTCTCGGTGTCAAATCGGAGGAATAAAGTCCTAAACCGTACGTGCTGTCATGCCAAAGCTAGTAGCAAAAATCTAAGCTCGTGTATTGATGTTTACCCTAAGTGAGAAGCGCCCGTAATATCGCTGATTGCCATTTGGCCATCTATTTGTCTAGCTGTTCAATACGGATGAGCACGCGGATATGTCTCGGAGTCGTTTAAGATTCGCGAAACACATTGATGCGTACTCCGCTGATAGATTAACTAAACAGAAAGCGTTGGACTGATACAAGTCAAAATGTTACACTGTCATTTGTAAGCAACGGCAGCTTTCCGTTATATTGATTCAACAGATTACGATTTGAAATCAGTCCAGATACACAAATAAATCTTCTGTGCGTCAGGTAAGAATTGGTCATTACTGGACTGGTGACGTCGGTGTTGCTCAGTTCTTATACGCTTATCCTTTTTTAATAAGGGTTGAAAAACATTAAGATAAAATTATTAAGAAAACCGCTAGGTTGGCATCCGGGGTTCGGGAGATTGTAATTAGTGTCACCAATAGATAGCAGGATGAATCTTCTTGCTGAGGAAAAGATGGATTAACAGCGTTTTCCTGGTACGAGTTCCTGGTAATCAGAGGGCATTCTGCCAGACACTCCTGCGTCTTGCAGGGTCATCCACTTCTTGCAATTACACCGAGGTTACCTCTCCCACTGACGAAAATACTACTGACAAGATTTCCGATCGGGTTCAGTGTGATTTCACCAGCCTCGGAGTTAGACACGGCTATTTCGAGATCGCAAACTGTGCTATGTTGCCCTAGTTTGCCCTTTCTGTATTTCCATCTGCCAACGCCTTGTGTGTCTCATTATTATGTCTGATGCACGACGCACCTACACTGTGCGCCAGCAGTTGGCTGAAAAAGGCTACTCAACAGATGTTCTAACACAGCGCACTTCAGGCAGTTTGACAGCCATTAAATGGCTCTTGTCTTAACCGCTAATGTATACATTACCACTGTGTCTAATCCTTGACCCCAGATATAATTTGTTCTTAAAACACGAGTGGCTTGATTTATGTGTATGTGATAAACCACAGCTGGTCCCTTATTGACAGTTTTTACATTTGTGAGTGCGTGTGTTATGCACGGTTCTCAGCCCTGGAAGTCGGAAGTCGTATGTCATCGGGTGTGCTTACCGGTTCTAGGTTCAACATTTCATCGATCTTGGCTTCCGATATTTATTCAATTCTCTACCTTAAGGGGTCTTCCTCTCATACATTGTGGTAATTTCGGCGCTGAACTATTCTCTGACCGCAGGGTGCGCTGCTAGTCTGTTACAGAACTATTGTATCGCCTATACTTTATTTTGCATGCTATTTTAGAGGCCCCAGATATCAAAAGCTGAAGGTGGCGATTGTGAAATTTGGAGGTGGGTCAAAATTTCGACTCCTTGTACAGTGTAGCGCGCATACATGGTGTGTACAATATTTCTGTGGGGCTTTTAGCATATTAGTAATACCGTATTGACCAAATGGAATCGTTTCAGAGTTGAATTGACCCATTAATACCAGACGTACATGGTAAAGTAGGCTCGTTTACAGAGGATGGCAGGACATAAAATTCACCTTTGTGTCCAACGAGTCCATGGTAACGATCTGTTCGCTAACTCACTTGTTGTGTCTTCACACATTTTTATTTTATAATGACCAGCCAACACAGTGCAAAGTGCAGAGCACGCCCACATGTAGCTTTCCACGAGTTTAATGATCAGACACAGTGTTGTTAATAAATCTGGACACTGCCATACCGTGTTTTAAGACTGTTGGAGCAGTGCACAGTGATTTACCACGAACTGAGTACGTGTCTCTGTACATAAAAAATTATAGTTTTAAGTTCTGCATTTGTATGGCTTTTTTTTGCTCATAAAATAAGGTAAAACCAAAAACGCCCTGCAATCTGGTCGCTCAACTTAGCGAGGGCGGAAGCTAACAGCGTATATTGTAGACCTGTGCAACGATACCTTAAAGGGAATCACCCAGCACTGTACATTGTATAAGGCACGATATAATAAGAACAATCACGATAAAACCAAGTTAATCAAAACAACGCCGACAAACAGGCGCCAAACAACAACTTTTAATTAGGAGCTCGCAAAAAATCACACCCATCTCCCCAGCAACCGTCATTTTGGCGATTGATGAAATATGAGAATACCACTGTAATTATTTTTTGAGCACGCAACAATTATGTCGACCTGTATACCTACCTGTAATTTTTCCCTCTCTTCTGTTTTCTGTATCACACTACAATATTCCCCTGTGATGACCAGAGAAGAGACAACTCGTGTGTTTTAAAATATATGATGCCAAACAACTGAACTGAATGCAAACGTAGGACAGATATTTTCAAGGTAATGTGTGTATATGACATTGCAGTTCTATTTCAAATGCGTAGCAGACTTTTACTGGGATTTTAAAATAATAGTAATCCCGACAGAACTCTCCACGAAAAAAAGAACTATAGTCTGCAAATAAAGGTAAAATGCACTTGAAATTTTGAAGGAAATGTGCGGTTTGAGACGTCAATTGATACGGCTGTTACTCCATTAATTTCTTTAAGCAGGCTATTCTTTCCGTTGGTCAATACGAAATGGAACAAGTGTCTCTTCCAAGATTTCTTCTTTAAGGTGAAAAGAAGACCTTCATTTTAATTAATTGCATAGAATGCCGCCATGAATCCTCATGCCAGAGCGTGATATCTTTTTCAATCATGACAATGAGAATAGAAGCTGATTTGAATTGAATAAAGCGCTTTTATCGATTTTGCTAACCCATTATGCGATTATATATGTAACATGCTTCGAACCCCATTTACTGTCTCACCGCAGATCTCCTAGCGTTTTGGTAAACCAACATGTCTCCCAATGAGCACGAAGTCCACACGATGCATCATTTCAAGAAAAAATTCTTACCACAATAACATGGTCTGTCACTATTTTTAGAGTGCTGTAATAGTTCCTCTTGTCTGGCCCAAATAAAGGTGGTTGCGTGGTCGGAAAATAACATTCATTTTAGGCAAAAAATGTCATGCATCTCTCTGTTATGTAAACCCCCACACAAACTCACCCGCACAAACACACGCCTAAAATATACTGTGCAAGCATGTTATTTAATTGTGCCGCCCGCGGAAGACCTACACTTGACTAGAAGAGAAAAAGAGGCTCTTGTGTACTGGGAGAAAGAAAAGGGCTAACACTTTATAAAGATCGCCCAAATTTTTTTTACACAAATGTCCCTGAACCCCCCTCCAAACCCTATCTTTGAGTCCCTGATTAAACCACCATAATGCTTATGTAACTTATATAGCTCAGACTGTTTCTAATGGCCTTACAAAAAATTACCATTATCGGAGTTTAATTACCAGGTGGTACATTTCAAATGAATATCCTCATGTATTGTCCGAGTACCTATATCTAAGTTACGGTATACATATTATCCTCGTAGAAAAAAAAATAGGCCTATTCATCACCATTAAATATCCATTTTCTTCCATTTTGGAAAGCCATGCTCAATTTGTTACAGATGTTGGGGGGTGAGTTTCGCAGAATCGGCGATTCGTTTCTACGACACTTTCCCCGACAGTTGGTCATTAATGTGTTCTCTATTTCCGCTAGGATTGATTATGTTCTCAATCCATTCTTATTTCCTAAGATGTGGGTCACAGGATGTATTATCTTTTTCTAGGAGATCATTGGCTTAGATACACTAGTCAAACGATTTCTTAGGATACACTAAATGAATTTGGCTGGCGTTACAAATAAGCTACTCAAACGGAACACACGCTGCCTGTGATTTGATGAAATATTGTTAATAACTAGATAAATTACCATCAGATATATCCTTCCAAGCGTCATTTATGAGAGCTAACCGAATTGGTTCACAAGCAAAAACTAAATCATTTCTTAATAAATGAATGGTGGAAACAGGTACAATACAGAAACAAAATTAATCTTTGCGTTTTGTCGGATCGCGAAATTATAACCTTCAAATCATGTTGTCATGAACCCCTGTGAATGTTCAGTCTTATATAAAGGCAATAGACGTATCTTTTTCCTGAATCAGCGGAAATAACACATCGATAGACTTATAGTATGGATATTTTTCTTTCCCCCGAAGAACTTCTTGGCAACACTGCAGGAAAGCGGAAATGGCTTATCTTTCGATATCCCCAAATTGGTACCGACAGAACATTACATGGATTACTTCAGAATTATTGAAAGCCGTCATGGTTTTTGCAATGACATGTCAAACCCTATGTCTACATGTATATTCACGACTATACACAAATTTCGTAACTGGTGAGACACGCTTGTCACAGCGTTGAAATAATTTTAATCGTGACTTTGGCAACGGGCATACATTTAGTTCAGATGAAAACCCAATGGCGTACTACGACTAGACCGGTTGGAGACACTGGTGTGTCGTCCTCATTTGGTGATGGCAATTTCAATTGGAAAGCACGAATGTCAGGACGTTACAATATCAATTATAATCAAAATCTCAATATCAAGTTTATCTTAACTCTCTTTGGCGACCATCCCTGTCGGTAGTGTCTCCTCAGAAGCTTTCAGAATCAAACATAACCACCGCCACATGCGTCATATTTTGACAAAGTAATATCATAGTTAATAATATACTAAACACCATTCAACAGCCTTCAGCCGGTACTGTACCAGTGTTGTGAATATACCGTGTACAGTCAACCGCCATTTGTGCCATTAGAAGAAATCATCAAAAAGTAAACATGCTCATGATCGCATAATTTATCATAACGAAACCCCATGGCAATAGACGGATTCAGTTCAGGATAACTTATATACATTCACCCCGGCCTCCTGTTGTTTAGAAGAACTTGGGGAGGTACATGTAGCAGAACCAACGCAGCGTCTTTCAGAAACCAAACGTCGGAAGCTTAAGAGCTCGGTAGTGTTTTTTAAAAGGTAATATCAAACCGCATTAAATAACCATTATCATTTATTTCCACTCCAGTGGGATTTTGGCTAAAGTTCGACAAATATGTTCCGAGAGATTACTAAGAGATATGGCATGCATTTTCAATGTCGATTTCTTCAGTACAAGTAGGACAGAATCAAGTTAACCCATTGTTTATGACGTACGGTTCAATCTGACGTCAATCCTGACGCCGGTTACTGTAGAAAGTGGATGCTCCCCATAAACTGTGTGTAGTCATTTTAATGCGGCTTAAACGGTGGCAGGAGAATGTGACAATTAAAGTAAAAGACGTAAAGATAGAATGTTAAACGGACATCATACGAGACCGTCATAGCGCTATGTGTTCTTATATCTTTTTTAGATATTCTGTCCGTATGCCCAATTACACTCTGCATGCTGTTACAGTAATGTTATTACTGCTCACTGTTCTAAAGTAAATATCAGGGAACGAATACCTTATCGTCCAATTAGCATTCAGATTTGATGAATATTAAAGTTGACTGATAACCCCCTCCCCCCCCCCCCCCCCAAAAAAAAAAAAAAAAAAAAAAACAATACAAAATTACCAATACAGTGACATGTTTAGGTTCGCCAAGGACGAGGGAAATGCTCCGTATCAGGGTATTCAAAAGCGGTCAAATATCAAATCAAATAGGAAATCGTTTTTTGCATACTAAGACATCAAAGAGATTGGAATTGGTTTTTACTTAAAGCATAATTTCAATCAAGCGAAGCACTAATTTAATCGAGAACACTTTTGATCATGAAATTGCACGCCGACTAGCATTTGCCTTGACAGGCTCAGAGACATATCTAAAGTAATGAACTATGAGGACAAAATCAAAAGCTGGTTTGCAAAGTAAACCTGGTTTGTAATCTGGCACCAGAAAATGTGCACCTGAATATTTTGCTGCAATTGCTTATTTTACACTAAAATACCAATTTAGACAACATTCAATCTGGAAATGTGTACAAAATATTTTATGTTCAGCAAACACGACATAACAATATTTTCACGTTCAGACAAGCAGTCTTTTTTCTTCTGCTATCTATAACAACACATGGCAGGTTTTTAAAACAA